TCTCTACGGCTTGAAACAAGCACCGCGGTAATGGTTTCAAAAACTAACCAGTTTTCTCCAACAACAAGGCTTCGGGTTTAGTCGTTCCGATCCCTCTCTTCTTATCTTACACAAACACAACATTCAAATATATATTCTTATTTACGTAGTCGACTTCTTGGTGATAGGTAACGACGACACTGTAATTCGGCTACTCCTCCAACAACTGCAAACTCAATCCGCCCTCAAACAACTTAGCAATATCTCGCTCTTCCTCGGAATTCAGGCGACACGTTCCAAATTCGGCTACTTTCTATCTCAAGAACACTATGCTATGAAAATTCTTAACGACGCAGGCTACAAGGATTGCAAAGCAGCTCCTACCCCGGTCACGTCGTCTAAGAAACAGAACGAATCTAATTCCCAACCATTTCCGGATCCATCCCTCTACCGCCGCCTCGCTGGATCACTTCAATACCTCTCTATCACAAGACCGGATATCGCCTTCGCAACGAACCAGATCTGTCAACATATGCAGTCTCCAACCGAACAAGACTTTAAGGCACTCAAACGTCTTCTTCGCTACATCAAAGGCACCCTATCATCCGGACTACCTATCGTCGCTGGCTCGCTGGAACTACGCACTTATTCAGGCGTGGACTGGGCATCCGACACCAGCGACTGAAACTCGGTTTCGGGCTTCTGCAGCTTCCTCGGTCCCAACCTTATTTCTTGGACGGTGAAAAAGCAGGCGACCGTAGCTAAATCCTCCACCGAAGCTGAGAACAGATCTCTCTCCGCTGCCGCTTCGGACGTGATATGGCTTCGTCGACTAGCCACCGAACTCAATCTCTCGCAACCGTCACCGACCATCATTCACTGCGATAACACATTAGCTATGGCCATTGCCAAAAACCCGGTGTTTCATACAAGAACAAAGCATATAGAGATTGACTAATACTTTATTCGTCAGCAAATTGGCTCCGGCAACTTCTAGCTCGAGAACATCTCTTCCAAAGATCAAATAGCTGACATCCTAACAAAGCCCTTCTCGATCGCTCAATTCACTGAATTACGGAACAAATTAACCATTCGGTATCCGAATGCTTAAGTTGAGGGAGGCTATTAGCATATAAAGTAATACCCTTAGGTTCTTTATCTGTATTTACTAGCTTACCATTAGCTAAGTCTTTATTAGGCCTTTCTCTGTAACTATTCAAGATACATGAATAATACAATCCGTTTCATCTTCTTTCCCTGGCTTCACCGTGTTCTTTCTTCCTCCCTTCCTGTAAAGTTCTCAGTTTACTTTACGAATGTATACCTTTGTTCTTGCATAGAAATGTATCAAATTTTTAACCTTATTCTCTTCGCAATTACAACGCATATATATATATATATA